GGGAGCTGGGGTGTGCCGTTGATGTGGAGCAAGACGCAGCAGCAGAAGAGGACTCAGCCGAGGAGGTTATGGAAGAGGATGGAGTAGGAGGAGTAGAGGAGGTGGCAGCAGGACTGCCTGCAAGTCGTGGCGGTGTCACCAACTCCTCTGCAGAGCCATACATTCCATGCTTGGCAGCAGTCAGCAGGTTTACCCAATGCGCAGTGTAGGTGATATACCTGCCCTGACCATGCTTTTCAGACCAGGTATCAGTGGTCAGATGGACCCTTGCCCCAACACTGTGTGCCAGAGATGCTATTACTTCCTTTTGCACAATTGAGTACAGGTTGGGGATTGCCTTTTCGAAAAGTAATTTCGGCCGGGTACCTTCCACTGCGGTGTCCCAATAGCTACAAATTTTTTGAACGCCTCAGACTCCACCAGCTTGTATGGTAAAAGCTGTCGGGCTAATAGTTCGGACAAGCCAGCAGTCAGACGCTGGGCAAGGGGGTGACTTTCTGACATTGTCTTCTTAAGCTCAAACATGTCCTTGACAGACACATGACTGTGGGAAGATGAGCGTGAACTGCTCAAGGCGGGAGGCGGAGTGGCAGATGGTTGAGAGGGGACAAGGAGGACAGCAGTGGTTGACGTGGCTGAAGATGCTGGACCAGGAGGGGGCTGGCGGCTTAGAGTAGGCGAGCTGCTTGTACTCATGTGTTGATCCCATAGGCGTCTGTGATGTGAGATCATGTGCCTACATAAACAGTTGTACCTAGGTAGATTGTTGGACTTCCCGCGACTCAGTTTCTTTTAGCACAGGTTGCAAAATGGCATGCGCTGTTGTCAGAGCGGAACTGTACACAAAAAAAATTCCACACTGCTGAGCTCTGCAATGACGGCATTCTGGTGGTGGACACAGCATGCGTTGATTGGCGTGCTGTGGGGCTGACCCCGGGTGTCGATGCATGCTGTCTGACTGTGCCACTAGCTCCTTGCGACGACCTTCCCCTGCTTCCAACTCGTCTCCTCCTCCTCCCTGTCTCCCCATCTGAACTTTCACCCTGTTCTTCTTCTTGACGAGCGGGCACCCACGTGACATCCATGGACGCATCGTCATCATCAAACGCTTCACTTGTATCTGACAACTCAGCAAAGGAAGCAGCAGCGGGTACAACATCATCATCATCATCACCGTCACGTCCATGTATTACAGCAATGCTGCCTGCACAAGAGACTTCTTATCCCTGTTATCTACGCATCTCTGGCAATAATGGTTGCGCACATCACTCATTTTCTTCAAGCGGATGTGTGAATAACTCCTCTAACATACCAACGGCGGCTGTGGTGCTAGTTTTGGTGAAGTGGCGGCAGGCGGTGGTGGTATCTTGAGAGGTGCCTGAAGCTAAGCTGGAGGGAGGGATGGTGCGTGAGTTCTGAGCGGAGGTTGTAGAGATTGGGAATTGTCCTGTGTTAGCCAGTCAACTATGTCCTCCAGAACTTTTCAAAGTTCAGGAATGCGTGGCCGCACTCTGAAAACTGGGCATTATTCACAGGGCCAAAGGGAATCCCACAGCACCGCGACCCGCAGGTGGCCCCTGAAGTCATGGCCTCTTACCTCTGCCTGTCATTTTTGTTGGGATTAGTGGTACTATGCGTGCAAGCTACTGTGAGACCAGATATGAGTGGCAATGTGCACTGGCACAGTTGTGCAGAGCTACAAGGCTGTAGACCTGACTTACCAAGCAGAAGATAACTAACTGCTATTATTCAGTAATCTATAACAGTAAAAAAGTTTTTTGTTTTTAAATCCAAGCTATTGTGACACCAGATCTAATTAGTGGCACTGGTCAGCGTATCCACTGTTAGCGTAACACACCCGCTTTAAGGACACTGACTGCTATTCAATCTATAACAGTGAAAAAAGATTATTTTTAAATCCAAACTATTGTGACACCAGATCTAATTAGTGGCACTTGTCAGCGTATCCACTGTTAGCGTAACACACCCGCTTTAAGGACACTGACTGCTATTCAATCTATAACAGTGAAAAAAGATTATTTTTTTTTTAAATCCAAACTATTGTGACACCAGATCTAATTAGTGGCACTTGTCAGCGTATCCACTGTTAGCGTAACACACCCGCTAAAAGGACACTGACTGCTATTCAATCTATAACAGTGAAAAAAGATTATTATTTTTTAAATCCAAACTATTGTGACACCAGATCTGATGAAGTGGCGCGTAAAGTACGTATCCACTGTAGTGTAACACACCGCTTTAAGGACACTGACTGCTATTCAATCTATAACAGTAAAAAAAGTTTTTTGTTTTTAAATCCAAGCTATTGTGACACGGATCTAATTAGTGGCACTTGTCAGCGTATCCACTGTTAGCGTAACACACCCGCTTTAAGGACACTGACTGCTATTCAATCTATAACAGTGAAAAAAGTTTTTTGTTTTTAAATCCAAGCTATTGTGACACCGGATCTAATTAGTGGCACTTGTCAGCGTATCCACTGTTAGCGTAACACACCCGCTTTAAGGACACTGACTGCTATTCAATCTATAACAGTGAAAAAAGATTATTTTTTTTTTAAATCCAAACTATTGTGACACCAGATCTAATTAGTGGCACTTGTCAGCGTATCCACTGTTAGCGTAACTTACCCGCTTTAAGGACACTGACTGCTATTCAATCTATAACAGTAAAAAAAGTTTTTTGTTTTTAAATCCAAACTATTGTGACACAGGATCTAATTAGTGGCACTTGTCAGCGTATCCACTGTTAGCGTAACACACCCGCTTTAAGGACACTGACTGCTATTCAATCTATAACAGTAAAAAAAGTTTTTTGTTTTAAATCCAAGCTATTGTGACACCAGATGTGGTGGTGGCACTGACTGGGGAAATGGGCACAGTATGCACTGTGAGCCTGACACAGAAGCTGGCAGCAGTGGCAGACAACTGACTGCTATTCAATCTATAACAGTGAAAAAAGTTTTTTGTTTTTAAATCCAAGCTATTGTGACACCAGATGTATTTGGTGGCACTGACTGGGAAATGGGCACAGTATGCACTGTGAGCCTGACACAGAAGCTGGCAGCAGTGGCAGACAACTGACTGCTATTCAATCTATAACAGTGAAAAAAGATTTTTGTTTTTAAATCCAAGCTATTGTGACACCAGATGTAATTGGTGGCACTGACTGGGGAAATGGGCACTGTGAGCCTGACACAGAAGCTGGCAGCAGTGGCAGACAACTAAGTGCATTTACATTAGATAGAAAAAAAAAATCAAAAAAAGCATACCCTTATCCCTAACCTAGCTATGCTTTTCCCTATCTTATGAACAGCAGCTACACTTTCCCTCCTC